AAGCAACCACTCCTTCCTTCTTAGGTTCTCTCTCTCCTGTCCGGGTTCTCTTGCAGGATGGAGGTTTTGACAATAGCTTTCTCCTCTGTAGGGGCACCCACCAGCTGCTTGTTTGAAGTTCGCTCATTGACCTAATGCAATGCCGCAGCTTCTCTCAAACCAATAGGATCAGGCCCTCAACATGGAACGTGATTTGACGAATGATGAGTTTGAGGCTTTAAATAGAAGGCGAGCGCAACAAGGCAAGGATCCACTGAGCTGGCGGGACGCACAGCGCCAGGCCCGGCGTAAGCCGAACCACAACAGAGGAGGTAAGAAGGCCAAGGCAGCGCCGTCCTCACAGCCTGTCACTTTCCTGCCGAGAGCGGAGGCTTCCTCCGTGGAGGTTTCCTCCGAAAGAGCTCCTGAACAAGCTGAATCCATTTCCTTTCTGGTTCCTGATTTTGATCAGAGGGCCAGCGGGCAGGCATCCGACTGGAACACCAGCACTCATGTTCAGAGTCGCTATGCATGGAACAAGCGTCACAAGGAGCGTGAACAGCTGGATCCGACTAAGGATGTCATGGAGGAGGCTAAAATTTTTATCCGCACATTTCTGAGAACGCGTAAAGGTCCGAGCAACTCCGATTTGACTGCAAAGTTGGGAGACCCTGTCATGCAGGAAGGCTGGGTGCGCTTCCCCCTAAGAGATGTTGTTCAGAGATGCACTGGCACGGATGACAGAGTGGGCTATCATGGGACAAAATTGGAATCGCTCTACTCGATCCTGTATCTGGGAAAGCTGCAACCGTCCCAGGATGCCTCTCAAGGTGAACAATACTTTGAGGGCTACCCGGGAGTCTACATCCATTCCGGCAAGCATGAGTGCAAGGCAGAGTCATATGTGACGCATGTATGGTTTCCCATCTTGAAAGAAGGCAACAAGTCTCTCCGAGCAGTTGCGGCCAAATTCGCAGTGTCGTTCGACCAGGCTGCAGGATCTCTCCGTGGCTCCAAAGCAACGGATCAGTATATTCTCAGGGAAGACTATGTCCAGCTAGAGGCGCTGCTGCTTCACATCACAGACTCACTGCCTTTGGGGACCTATGTGCAGACTGGCTGGAACCCCCTTGCGGAAGCTGCCCCAGTTCAACGCATAGCGAGGGAAAGACCGGAGGAGCCGAGTTCATACAGAAATCCACCAAGATCCTCCTCTCAGCCTGCCAAGGAGTCAGCCTCTCACGATGATGATAACTCCACCCGGCAGCTCGCAGTTCCTCCTTGGAGAGTAAACAAGGCAATGGACTCTGATCACAGTGCTCTGCCGACCTCCTTGCATCAGCCCGAAGATGATAGTGATGAATCATGGGGGGTATGGTCACCAGCCGCTGCTGCCGCAGCCACAGATCCACAGGTTCCATCTCATCAGGAAGTCCCACAGCAGCCAGAGGGAAGTAGAAGAGAGCATGCCTGGCAGCCAACAACTCAGCACACACCAAGTTTAGCAGATCTGGATGGTACTCTTGATCGGCTTTCTGGACGGGGCGCTCACGAAACCAGACGAGTGATGATAAGCAAGCTCCTCACACAGGCTCTCAGACATGACCCAGCGAAGTATGGCATTTCGCTAGACGCTGCTGGCTATGCCAACTTGAAAAGCCTTCTTAATTCCAGGCAATTTTGGCGGGCTGAAGTGACGGTTCATGAAGTACAGCGAGTACTGGAAACCTCACAGAAGATCCGCATGGAGCAGATGACCTCAGAGGAAGACGGCGAAATCTACATCAGAGCCTTACAGGGTCATGGCCATGACATTCCGCTGGACGACGATCAACTGCATGAGGTTCTGACCTCATCCACAACACCGGAGTGGGGTGTCCACGGGACGAGCTGGCGGGCCTGGCAGCAGATTCGCTCCTCTCAGCTGCGCAGAATGCAAAGACGTGACATACATACGTCTTTGTCACCAACCAAAACTGCAGGATTCAGGGAGGACTCTTCCGTGGAGATCTGGATTCACCTGCCGTCTTTGATCGACAGTGGACACAGAGTGCGTCGGGCGAAGAATGGAGTACTGCTGACGCGTGGACCCATTGACCTGTCCCACATCAGCACTGTCATTGATCGGCACACAGGCAAGTCTCTGCCCTTCTAAAGCGTTCTCAGCAGTTTCACCTGAACCGAATTCGTTCTGCCGTGGTCTACTTTCGCAGCGGGAGGCTTCCTCCGGAGGCTTCCTCCACTTCATTTTAAAGTGGACAGCAAGTACGCCCTCTGCTTAAGGCAACAAAGACTTTGTCACAGCCTGCATGAGTTGTCTCTATTTACATGCTCTAAGAGGAGTTTCCCCATCCTCCACCTGCTCATTGCCCAGGTGAGCCTAGCGTCGCGCAGCCCACAAGCAGTGGCAGGCGCTTCCTTCTGTAGTCCTTGTTCTTGAGCCGTGCAGCTTTCAGCTATAGCTCTTGCATGCCTGTTAGCAATGGTCAATGCCTGCCTGCCACAAGAAACCGCCTCACTCTTCCGATCGCAGTAGCCATTCTAATCTCGAATCCAGCCATCAACACTCGAGTTTCCAATGGAGAGCACTAGCTTGGTGCAAGCGCTCACTCCGCTTCTGGTTGCTCGCGTGCACCAGCAGGTAGTTGCGGAGGACCCGAGTATTTCCTCGGAGACTACCAGCGCAAGGGTTGCGGAGTACCTCCACACTCACAAGGTGAAAATCCTTGCCCAGTTCATGAACTACGCACATGAGGTGCTCCAAGGAGAGAGGTTGAGGACACTGCATTGGGCAGCACAGTCACTGACCGGATATGATGAATGGCGTGAAGTTAAGGCGGCCCGACGCCAAAAGTTGCGGAGCATCAGCCTCCGTTACTTAAGCCAGATGAGGTTCACCGGGCTTCCCACCACTCAAGGAACGTGGTTCTACATCGTGATCCTCACCGAACTTGAGAGCTTCTATCGGGAGACGCAAATTCTCCGGTATACGTCAGGTATGTTGCCCCCGAATCTTGACGCTCAGTACCAACAAGAGGTTGGGCAGGTCCGTGACGAGTTCTTTGCCGAGGATGCGGAGATGAACATAGCGATCGCACAGTGGACCACCATTTCGGCAGGTCTCACAGCATGAGTGGGGGCTACCTTCGGAGGCTTCCTCCCCTTCCTGCACCTCGCCGATTCCCTGTACACTTTTCAACACATAAATCGGCCCTTTTGTAGGTGCGGCTCTCAGCCTGACTAGCCATGCATCAGTATGGCAGAACTCCATTAGCACATAGGTTGATAATAGTGTCTCTTTCCTTCTTTCACTCGGAGGTTTCCTCCCATTTTGCTTGCATCTTTCATCTTCTTAAGACCTTCTTTATACATTTAAGTGCAATGGAGCTTCTCCAGCAAGGGATTGCAATATCACTTGTCTAGCCTTGCAACAAAAGCAGATGGCTTTTTGAGACCATCAGCGGCTAAGAGGAAGAAATCATGCCTGAGTCTGTGTTGCACAATGGGGTTCCCACTCTCCTACCCCATGCGGAGCACACCGCTCGTGACGCAGGCTGCATTTGGCTGACGTCATCCGATGCTCTGTACAATCAGGCAGGGAGTGATCTCCAGATAGCATTGTTTGCAGCTAATCATCTCGTTGGCACCAGCATGCATGCTCACACTTGATGGAACTCTCAGTTGTGGGCAGCTTGCGCTTCAGGCAAGCTACATTTATAAATTCTTTATTTCAGTCAGCAAGCTGGCAATCTTGATCTACTTTAGTTTGCATGCACTTTTGTTTCTATCTCCCTTTAATCTTTCCGTTTTCTTGAACCTTTTTGATTCTTTGTATCAGCTTAGGAGGTTTCCTCCTGCATATCCCTAACCCCATTTCTTCTCGCCCAGGTGTGAATTTGCCTTGTCGCAGCGCTGGCCCCAGCAGCCGCGCAAGGCGTCCCAGGTAAGGCTTCGCAAACCCAGTTTCCCTGCATCCAATTTGGGCAACCTACTTGGAACGTGCAAGGCCGCCTTGGTGCGCTCTGCCTACGGCCCTCTGCCAGTTGTTTAGCGTTACCTGTGTGAGACGTCACTAGACGGGAACGCTGAGTGTCGGCCTCACAAGAGGTACGGCTCGCTAAACAGCTGGTGCGTGGGTGCTGGACGCAGTGACTCACAGTAGGGTGTCGGGGTGGCCGTGCTTACTTTTCACACCTTTGCAGTGCTGAGTACTTGATATCGGAGGTTGCCTCCGTGCGAATTTCAATTTCTTCATTGATTCGCTGCGTCAGATCAGGAGATTTCCTCTTGAATATCCTTAAGTACTCTGCCAAAGCAGATTCAGTATAGCAGGTAGTGAGACCTGGCAATCTGGAGGAAGCGATCCTCTCGAGGTCCAAAAGGCCGGACTGTGAAATAACAAAGGCGGGTGAGACCTTCTATATCACACTTGCCCGCCTTAATCACACCAAACTCAGCTAGCGCACAGCTATAGCCTGCAACACAACATCGGGGCCAGCCGGCACTGCAGCAGTCGCGGGTGCAGGTGAGCCAGTAGGAAGCGGTCGTAGGGTGCCCAGCCAGCACAGCGCTATCGCAGCCCCGAGGGGCGGATGCATTCCACATACTCGAACATAGCTGTGCACAACAATCCTTTCAGCAGCCCTGAGGGGCGTGAAGTACGAACTAGCAAAGACTGCTGGAGCTCCCAAGGCGGATACAGAGTAGCCGACGTGCCGAGGATCCAAAGTGATCAGAGGTCCACATGCTGATTCTGGCAGTGAGTGCAATGCAAAAATGTTGTTGTTGTTGTTGTTGTTGTTGTTGTTGTTGTTGTTGTTGTTGTTGTTGTTGTTGTTGTTGTTGGGTTGCTGTTGTTGTTTTGTTTGCTCTTGTACGTAACGTCGTCGCCTTAGTCGTGTGACTGTTGTTGTTGACCTCAGGGCCCCAAACCTCCCGCCAGCTCGACAATAAACAAACGGAACCCGAACCCTCCCTGCGGATGTAGGCGCCCCGGTAGATAAACTGCAGGTCCAAGTAGCACCTCCTGCAAGAGGTAGTAACTGAACACAACCGCGTGCCAGAATGCTGAGAACAGGAAGAGAAGGTAACCTTAGGTACGTGTGAACCAATCAACTGGCATGCTGTGCAGAAAGTATTGGCTGATTGTTGGCACAAGCCATGACCTTCTTACACAGCGATAGCTCTGTCAACCTCTGCAATGCACAACTCGCTTCGCAATCCGGCCAAATTGCTCATCTTCACTGGCATGAAAGTGACCGCATCTTGCCGTGGCTTGTCCTGCGGAACAAAACGGCCCCTGCGAATTGACACGATGGAAACGCACAAATCAGAATGCAGAGCATACGAATGGCCTCTCAATCAAGGAATGAAAATATGAATACTGCCCACCCACCTGAAAAATCCAAGCCCTGACTGCATTGAGGTACTGTACCAGAAGTATGAGAAGCCAAGCTTTCTTTTTCGCAAATACATCAAATACGTCCAGAAAAAACTTGATCCAACTCACTCCCATGCTCTCACATCTCTCACACTCTATCTCTTATGAAAGAGGCAGCCTTGAGGAAGGTCACCAGCTCATACGTGCACCACAATCCTCACTTCACGCACAGCTCGATTTTGATGCCAAGAGAGCTGCAGAGACCAAGTGCTAGCCGTGACATATGCTGGATGACAGCAACATCTCCAACAGCAGCCCAGCATCGGCTGAAGTACCTTTGCTCAGATACCAAGTGGCTTGGGTTTCAGATGCGTTCGCGCTTCTTGCAGCATCTTGCAGCTGAGAGTCTGTGGCGACCATAGAACAAGAAGGTTTTTCGACTGAAGCAAGAACGCACCAAGGCCCAGAATGCCCTTCATCTTCAACCTTGTGCAACTTCTGATGATGTCAATGCAGGTTCAACAACCGAATGAGCAGACAGAGAGGCAGAATGAAGCAGAGCAATTGCCGGGCTGTGTCCCAGCATTGCTACTGGTTTCATTGCAGACAACCAGGCATGCAACTTCGATGAGCTCTAGGCCGAGCCACTCTTCGCTATGCTGTGCAATACAAAACTTGTCCAGGAATATCATCACCTGAGCTGACGGGTACAGTAGTAGGTTGACGACAACGTGGCCCTTGACCCTTCCTTAAAGTCCTTGCTGATGTAGGCAGCTGCAACCGCCGGCGGCAGCTGCAGCCAGGTTTGGTCGTATGCCCGAATAGATGCACGGTGTCATGACAAGTGTTCCAAACTGGGACAGGGCACGGGCCTCCGGATGAGGCATCGCAACCAATGCCATGAGAAGAGAACAATGTAGAAGGTTGCCAGGCAGATGGGGGTCAACAACAGGGCGAGGTCATCATCGATCACCTTCACATCAAGTTCGTAAAGCCTCACCTCACAACTGCCCTGGCACATCCTCTGGGACTTTGTCCCAATAAGAGATTGTACACCGCAACAAAAAGCAAGTCCACACTCCTCGACCCTAGAATTGTATGTCCTCGCACAGCACGAGGATCCCCAGGAGAATGCTGACCAGCGAGCTGGCCACGGCTGCGGCCGGCGAGTTAAAAATGATGGTCAAGCACAGGAACCTGGGTCGAACGTACAAGAGGTGACAAAATGCGCAGGCGGAGGAGACGCCATGCTAGTTCAACAATACGATTGTGGACCTTGTGGTAAGCAAGCACCAATACTCATGGACGTGAAGTTGTCCCACTGCAGCATGAGATGCTTCCCGCTGTGCGTTGCACGCCAGTCATGACTGATAAAGGCATCGAAGGCTTGGATCCTCCAAACGAAGAGGCACAGTGGCTCTGATACAGACAAACTCAACACATTCTCTAGCATCCTAGTTTCCCAGCCTGCGGCTGAGCTCGTAGTTCATCGGGTCAATCCTAAACATGCCACTGTCTGGGGCTCGAAGATTTGTCCCGAAGCCCGCCAGGGCGACATGCAAGGGGATTCCTTAGCGCCGCATGCCCAGCACACTCCAACACACATGAGTCAGAAGGGGAGCTTTGGCCGATTCACCGAAAGATGGACTTCCTTACTTTCCTCTGAGTTCAAGCAATCCTGCACAGTGCGGGGCGCGGTTTGACATGGCTGCCTCATAATGAGACGGGAGGGGTTCTTCGCAGCTCTTGGATCTTGATGCGGTGCCCACTGCACTGAGACTGCCAGAGCAGCTTGTGTGGAGATGTGTGGAGAGAGAAAAAAGCTTTTCTATGCTTCTTGAAGTTTAACCTAGATATAGCCAAGGCGAAGCAGGTAAGTAGCTTGCTGGGTTGGATGGGAACTTCCAGACCCCCTGGGCTCATAATGAAGGGTGGATCGGATGGACCCTAGAAAGTAGGTTTAGGCAAGCATCTCCAGTTGATCCTTCAGTTAGGCAGCCATCACATAAGCACACGCCGCCACCAGTGATGCTCTAGCTGTTTCAGGTCTGTGTCTTTCAAACTGATAGCGGGTCATTTAAGCGCTCATTCCATCTAATTCCAATAACCTGGCCCCTTGGGCATCCTTTGACCCTGGGCTTTGACCCCGGGCCGCCAAGCTTCCACGGAGAAGTTCGGGCTCCAAGCTTGAAAACATCCTGCGATCGGACGCCATGTTTGCTGCTCTGGCTATGGCAGAGTATGGCAAAATTGTGGCTATTGCTCGTGTAGTTAAGCTAACAATGTGGAGTATGTCGTGTCTGCTCTCCCGGCGTGAAGTTGCTGCCCAATGGGAACTGCCACGAGTCGTCAACAGTCAACAGCTACGACTCGCATGACATCTGAAACGTTCACACATTGTTGCCACCAATCACTGAAGCGGCATCGAGCAACATGGCATGCTCAATGTTTCTGTCTTCATGCTTGGCTCTGGACACCGATCGGCAACTTTGGACCGGGTGAAACCAACACACAAACTCCGCTCGACGCGCGACCCGAAATAATAACGGGCTTGGCAGTAGGCTAGATAGAGGAAAATAGAGCAAGGGTGCTTGCAGCAGCAAACGGGCTTGCCCAGATCACCCCGGCAGGTAGCTCTGCACAAACTCCCTGGCGAAGGGACGATGCAGTGGGCGCGTACAATGTCAACTGCTGAGGCCGGCACTGCACGCGCTCTAAAGCCTCCTGCATGTGCTCCTCTGCTGCGGGGCAAGCTAACTAAGTTGCTACATGTGCTACGTACACAATGCTACACAGCGAGCAGCTGGGCCACAAGGCCAAATCTCGGACAAAGTTCGCCAACAAGTTGCAAGACCGGGTCTGCAAAAAACACATGCCTCGGTGTCGTTCGGCAGTTCCCAGATCTTCAGATCCGTATCTTCAAACGCCTTTGCATGGTCAAAGGTGTATTTGCTCCAACTATGCACACTTGCATCAGATCAAGCCTCACGGGCTTCATCCAGACAGGTCTGAAAGATCTCTGCCTGACACAACACGTCCCACGGGTGTTGCCGGCTGGGATGCTCGATATGGCTGATGCGAGGCAGAACGTTCCCCAGATCATGATCAGCATGTTCCACAAAGCGAGATCTCTGCTGGCACATATCGAAATGGTCGAAGCGTCCCGAGGGCCTCGACGTTCTGCTTCACTTTGCTTTCAGGATAATGTCTTCGTTCAAGGCGGTCGTACAAAGTCTAGGTAGGCGCAGCTCGCCCAGCATTCATTTGCGCTGCATGGCACCGGGGAGCGTGCACTAGTATCTGCACGCAGCACTACAACGAGGTCCAGCAAGCCCTCCTCAGTGTCTTGTTTCTGAGCTCAAGCTCCAAGAGCTTCACAGAATCAATCCAGTGCACCGGGGACTTAAGTTCACAAACTTTGATCTGGACATGCTGCACTCACGCATGTCCAGGCTACGCCCAAGTGCCCCAGCATCTACGCACTTTCTAAGCACCCAACATCCAAGAACGCCGAGGAGTGGAAGTCGACCAGGCGGCCTCCTTCCTCCTTCAGGGCACATGCACAACATATCTGCCCCAAACATTGCCCCAACAGCCTGAAATCATCCTCCAAGTGTTCAAAGCTCCAAAGCTCAGACGCACACACAAAGAGCAACCCACACTGGAGTTTGAATCATTGACTTGACTGTCTGACAGCTGAAACTAAAACCTTTGCAGCACTTGGCCCGAGGTCCAGCAACGGCTCCAGAGCATCGAAGACCTTGTGGCAAGAAGCCGTCTGTTCAATACTGCTTCAAAAGTTGTCATTCGAGGACTCGCAAAGTCAGCAACAACCTTTTGAGTCAGCTGAAACACACGATCGCGCCACTACGGAGGAGCTGACGGCAACAGCGCGACACAGCCTTAGTCGATGGCCATCTCTTCGTCGAAGATACTGCAGTCCTCACGTTACATTCACTCAGGTGTCAAGTCATAGGGCTTGTGGCAATCACGACATATTCATGGCAGGCAGGTGCGCTGTCCAATTCATCGTCCCATTCTTTGTACAACCTTAGACAGATCGCGCAGCTCCAGCTCTTAATCAGACGTAATTCCACTGCATCCAACAACTCGTAGCTTCATCAGTTTCGCAGCCACCCACGAACACCACATACTACAAGAAACGCATCTTCAGTGCCACACCTCTTCTCCCGAACCATTTTGCTGACCTGATGCCAGGAAGCTGCTTGTTCAAATCATGTTGATGCACTCACACCTTGCACAAGCACACAACCCGAGGAAATCTGAACAGCTACAGGCCACCACACGAACCAGCTACTTTGCCGCATGAATGCTTTGAAGTCAAGCATGTCCAAAAAAACACGTTGGATAAGACAAAAACTTCATCACAGAAATTGGATGGTTCAACAGTTACATTCCAAGATTCATGGCATGCATACATGCACTGCAACACAGTCACAACGGGCGCATACTTCATTGAAGAGCCTCCAAATGCTCTAGCTCGGTGGAGCCGGCCAATGCCTTCTGCAAAGGGTTGGCCGTGCATGCAGACTGCACACTTTGAAAAGCGTCACCTCACAAAATGTCGTCTTTCCCACGCCAGGTGTACCGGTCACAAGGATGTTTGGTTTCGACCTGCAATTGAAAAGAGAAAATCTTCATCAAAGGCTCAAAGATAACCTGCGAACGCATCTGAACGAAACATGTTGGAATCCATGGGTGTGTTGGATGAAGCCACCAACAAACTCACAAGTAATTATGACAAGTGCCTGGACATCTTTGCGGGTCAGCGTTTGATGTCTCACATCATGTTCACCTCCCTGAAGAGATGCTTGCTGCAATAGTGCATATGAATACTTCCAACTGCCGTGCTTGCAAGCCAAGTGGTCAGCTTGCCATTGTGTGAGAAAACTGCTGAACGCCAACTCCATCAAATGCAAGCGACCTCTGAACTTGACAATTCTTGCGCCAAAACTCTCGGCATTGCCTACACTGTACTTCGCTCCACATGCTGCGTACATGATTTCAACTCATCATGGCAAAACCAAGGACCCATGATGCATCATATTTTGCCATTCGGTAGAGAAGCTTTTGCAAGTGAACCCAAAATGAACATTCCCGTTCTCCATGGTGGGTCTGGCATGTGCGCAGTCAACAGTCCAACGTGAAGATGTTCGTTTTCTTTTTTGCGTACCGGGCGAGAGCGGGTCACGTGACAATCCATCCGAAATATACTTCATCGGCGTTCATCGCGCGACTCCTTTTCTTTTCAAGCACTGGGGTATAGCGATGAATGTGTCAAACAAAGCTTGACACTCAAAGAAAGCATTCGAAAAAATGATAATCAATCCGGTAATCACACAAAACATGGAGCATAAAGGACCACATGGTCCCAGCCACACGGCTGATGGATTCGTCACGTGTCACCTGACCATGAGCCAGCGGCTTCCTCGGAAACATGAACTGATCAGCACCTGCATTCCATGCAACCAGCACGCAAGAAAAACTCCCGTGAAAAATTAAACAAACCCCCCAGGTTGTAACAAGATCTGGCTGTAATCCGTTAAACCATGAAAGCCCCCCCCCCACCCTCCGGGCGGGTCAAACAAAAAATCACAAGGACAGTGAAAGCTCGGCGACTGCTCACACTTCAACGAATTTTTCAAAGACGCGATTTACTCGGTACATGTGGGTTAGACCACTGAGGAATGTCCGAACAGAGTTCCTGCAGGTTGTAAACTTGGAGCTTGGGATCAAACCGATTCTCTTACACTCTCGGAGCAAAAACCTAGCATTGATTTCCCGCTGGCTACGATCTTCCACATTGCTAACATCTGCGGCAAGCACTGCAACAGCGCTGGCGACATATTGAATCTTGATACGGGTGACTGTGACTTCTGACCGCCTTTGCAGGAGGCTTAGCTTGTACGATCTCGAAAGAGCTTGATTGTAATCACGAGAAATTATTAAACGGATGCTTATAGGCCGTTTGAGAAAAAGTGTTTCTGGACTTTCGGCCCACTGTGGACAATCAAAAACTTCAATTGCCCTTAAGCCATCCTCCCCCATAAAGCCCCTGAAGCTGAAGCCCCGCTTAAACCTCCGTCCAAAGCAGCCCGTCTAAAAACCTCTTGTTCGGAAGCAAGCCAATGGAGAAAGCCTGGTCTTCGAACGGCCCCACCAAAATAGCAGTAGTGGGAAGGTGGACACTTGCGCAAGATGCCAATTGTCCCAACTCACGGGCAAAGAAGTCTTCTGGATGCACTTGAAATCCAGCTGGTCAGCTCATAAAAGTTTTCTTTCCAGACCTGTAACCATCCTGTCCGAAGTCTTGCAGCAACAATTTTTTTAAAGCGGACGCCCCTTTACCACATCAGCAGCACAGTGGGCCATCTTGCAATAAAGACAACCAGTCACATTGCACCAAGCCAGCAAGCGAAATGCAAGACAACTTTACGCAAGGCCAGCAAGATGAAACCAATACGACAAAAAACTATGATCCGTCCAGAAACAAGCAAGGAATTGGAAAGACACTGTTTGCATTAAGATCATTTTAGAATGTTGTTAATGGAGTTACAAGAGGATTGCAGCTGGAACAGTGCAGATCATGGCTTTGCAACCCACTTGCAGGCCTGTGGCATCTAACAGCATGTTCCATTTATTGAATTGGTTTAAGTTCAAGCCAAAGTTAAACTCTAATTTTAACTTGAAGTTCGAACCCAGAGTTTGGAGAACACAGAGCTGGAGCCAGCCTTTTTTGGGTTTAGGGTTAACCCTAAAGAAACCCTAAACCCTAAAAGTCTGCCGCTCCAGAGGTTGCGTCCGCCTAATTCAGATTTTAGACAAACCGCCCAACTAGCTTTCCTAAAGGCTTCCAGATTGCAGGTTTGCGATTTCTCTCCTTCCAGGGTTCTAAACGTCTGAAGCTTTGCAATTTTTCTTGGTGCTTCAAAGTTCGAAATTTTGCTCTCTGCCACACTTGGCACAGCATTTTGCTGCAGATCCAAAACGAAAATCGGCTGTCTGTGCAGTTTAAGAGCTGTCCTGCCACTGTGTGGCAAAACAAGTCTTTGGTCTTCACTCTCTGTGCACAACAGTTGTTAATCTTGGCCAGAAGGTGTGCTCCTATCTGCGGTCCTGGTTTTTCTTTCCTCTGGTGCCTCTTTACTACATCAGTAGCACAGTAGGCCGGTCTTGTTGGGCTCGACGAAAAGGGTGAAACAGAGTCAGCGCACACAACCCACCAGACACAACACGAAACCACCAAAGAACAGACACCGAAGAAACAAAGCGAGCAATCGCGCTAAACTACTAGATACCCCACGGACTCAGTACTCGAGGTCGTCAATGAAGTCCCGGTTCACAAGGAAGCACGGAGCTTGTGGGGGAATCGCAAATTGCGACATTGCCAGATTCTCAAAACCACCATCATGTAGCCATTGGTGCGACAGCGGTTATTCAAACCGAGGTCATCAGAAGAGGTTCGGATCGCGTACTCGTTGTCAAGAACAGACAACCGACACTCAATGGCGAAAGGATGTTGCAAGTCAGACTCCCTAGGGGGGATGAAAGATGTGCAAATGCCCCATGGTGGTCAGCCAGTGGGGACTTAACAGCAAGAACAAACAAGGCAAGACCGGCCCAGGGCACTCCATGGTGGTCAGCCAATGGAGTAGCTCCGAGCACAGAGTTCACCAGTCAACCTGGCGCACAAGTGCCCACCCTCGAAGGTGCCCGCGCACGGCCAGAGGGGGGGACGAGAGTAGCATCAGCTACCGATTACCTGGCGCACAAGGGCCCACCCTCAGAGGTGCCCGTGCACGGGCAGAGGAGGGCCGAGAGTAGCAGCAGCTACCGATTCATCGGGGAAAGTCCACGGCGAGTTATCAAACCCTTAACGCCATAGGGTTTTAATGACACCGAGGGACCTCCCAGTCCAGGCATCTCGCACAAGGCCACGCCACATTAGCACTGGCCTGCGCATCGGCACGCATCAGGTCCCTTCACCCAAACCCGCGAGGTATGCCGGTAAGGAGACTGGAGGGCTCACATCACCGTCAATCAGCCACCAATGCGAATACATTCAGCACCTGCCAAGGCTGTTCACGCGATGGTTTACAGTTTCGCCATCACAGATGGAGCAGAGTCGTGCCTCAGCACGGAACCTTGTAAGTGTCAACCTGTGTGTTCGGAAGTATAAAGTTGCCCCATGGTGGTCAGCCAGTGGGGACTTAACGGCGAGAACAAAGGGGGAGGACCAGCCCAGAGTACTCCATGGTGGTCAGCCAGTGGAGCCTCTCCGAGCACAGGCGCAACGTTCTGTTGACTCACAAGAGCTCGTCCGCCGGCCAAAGCAGGCTGGACTGCTTCGTTCCAATCAGAGCCATCAGGTAAACCCAAGCAGGCGGGGACCCCACCTGCCCCGCAGGAAGCGGGAGAGTCCCCCAGTCGAAAATTCGCACTCAAGGCCAAGCAACTATTTCCTTGGCCGGTGAGGGTTGAGGGTTCAATACCCAGAATCAGTTCGTCCAAGCCCAAACCGACAGACGTCGGTGAGGAGATGCAAGGGCTCGCATCACGTTGGACGGCCAACAGGAGCGGTAGAACTTCCATTGTATACACTGCCTTGGTCCAGTCAGCACCGTCAGGCAACATCCAGGCAGGCGGTGAGCCTGCTTGTCCCGCCACAGGCCATGCGCAGGCAGTGACGGTCTTTTTGAAGGCCAGGTTGCTCCACAGGTGCGCACTGGCTCCTTGCAAGGGCAATGGGTGCATATTCTCTACGTAGAAGTGCCCAATACCTGGGAGAAGCAGCACCACCGCATTGGCCTCTCCAGAGTCGTCATTCGGCCGAGATACCACAAAGGGGAGGGTCGCATTGCCATGACTCACGGTGATCCAAGTGTCGTCTCGTCCCACGATAGCGATGGGGCAACAAGTGTGGGCGACAGCTGGGTCTCAAAGCCGAGGGGTTCTTGCAGTGCCATAGCACAAAAACGGCCACCTACCCGGTCAAAGAGGGGCAGAGGAGAGGAAGACTGGGCAGCCTTACCAGAGAGCCATCCCTAGAGGGGGCAGAGGAAAGGACGATTGGCCGTTGTACCGATGACAGAGCCGGAACATCCAGGCAGGACCGGTCCAGGGCAGTCCGTGGCAGATGGCCAGTGGAGCAACCACGAAAGAAAGCCCCCGTTCCCACAGGCACACCGCGGGGCCGACCCAGAAGGGTGTTCACAGCTGCAAGCTGTGAGCACACAGAAGACAAGCACGGTCCAATCCGTGACATAGACCACGAGAGGGTTGCCAAACCAAGAATATCCCGAGGTAGTCTTGCGGCATGTATCGGCGAGGAGATGTGAGGGCTCACATCACGCTAGGCAGCATGCCATGGAGGGACTCAAAGGCGCGTTCGCGTGGCGTGAGTAGGAGCCCTCAGATGACAATTTGCTGTCTATTGCCAGGGGCCATCCCAGTCCGGACGCCGGGAGCGATGGCCATCTGAGGTGGTATGGGAACGCGTACGGCTGGGCATGGCCTGCATTGGAGGCAGCTCTTGCTCATCAACCCCCCACTCGGGGATGCCGTCCGGAATGGGGATACCTTTGTATCTTGTCATGGAGGTTTGTGCCGCGAGCCACATCACCCGGACAGCTTCCTGGATTTGCCAGTACTGCACAACACCTTCGTCCTTATACTGAAAGGGGAAGGATGTAACTGCCGCACGTAGGGCCGAAGGATCAGGGTCCTTGGAGGTGCCATGGCAGTACATCTTAAACC